AAAACTGAAAATTTCACACTCGGTTTGTCCATCTGACATTATGATCACGTGTGAGAAAATCAGAAAGTCTCGAAGTGGGCGCAAGGAGCCATTTGAGTGTTCGCGCTCTTTTCCACTCAGGGTAGCCACCACCGAAACAACAACATCTAAGGCTTCCTCCGGGAAAGAAAGGACCAAATATTTCAAATTAGTCCGTTGCGAACGAAAAGGGGAGACTGGGTGTCCCTTAAATTATAGATGTTTAGGCAAACTCGCATTCCGTCATAGGTGCAGCCGTTTTCGAGAAAAAGACGAACGTACACACGGACAGACAGACTCACGACCGAGACAACGCCTGACCCCTCAGCAACTTGGACTGAGCTTCGCTCAGCGACTAGTCACTCTCTGACACGGGAATAGCACACCTCGCATTGGCATTTCGCATAGTGAATTGTTTTAACATATACCCATCTGAATTAATTACATCATGGCTCTATGGACAGGATAGGATAGTCACCAGGGAGTCAGCATCACATTTTGAAAATGCAACAGTAGAGGCATAAGGCATAGCACTCTTTTGAAAAAAAAAACAACCGTCCCTCTGTCATTAGAGTGCTTGAGACGCCAATCCTACCAAGAAACATTTCACAAAACAAAACAAAATATATAAAAATTTCAAAAAAAATAATCATTTTCTAAAAGTTTTCAAGCAAAATTTCCGAAATGAACATTGAATCCATAAACTTGGATAATTTTCCTTCGAAGATGGGTTTTTAAGAAATTTTCCTTTTTCCGTAAGGTTTTCAAGTCCTGTCAGGGCGTTCCTATGAATGCACCACAGTGTTGAGGTGTTGAGGGTTCGGCAAGGGAATTCCCTCGCCCGTAAGGCACCATGGCCCTGGCCCCTGCTAGCCTGGCGGGTATGCAACACCGCAAACACTGGAGCGCGCATCCAAAGAACAACCCGGTTCCTTATTACACACATTTTTAACCGCTCGTTTTGTTTTGTCCGATTGCAGAACCGCCGCGAGTGCCCCACGTGGGGGAGGAGTGTCCGGAGGGCCACGCCGGGGCGGAGCAGGAGCTCATCATCGCGTGCGCCGAGAACGGGCTGGCGTACGATGGGGAGGGGTGCCCGACGTGCCCGGCCGAGGGCTGCGCCCCGGACTGCCAGCACGCGCCGCCCGTGCCGCTGCCCACCTACCGCTGGGAGCTCGTGCGCAGGGACAAGGAGGCCTGCGTCTACCCCTGGACGCACGTGCTCAAGCCGCCACTCAAGGACCCGCCTGACAGGTAGGAGAGAAGCGCACGCGCCGCGCGGCGGTCAGCTGGGAGCGGGGCGCCTGTCGGCCGCAGGGTAGGCGACCTGCTCCACCGGAGCGCCACCGCTTTGCCTACCCTACCTTATCTTGGCTCTAGCTGGCTCCCCTACTCTCCCTCCCTCCCTCCCTCCCTAGATCCATCAGTCAGTCAGTCAGTCAGTCAGTCAGTCAGTCAGTCAGTCAGTCAGTCAGTCAGTCAGTCAGTCAGTCAGTCAGTCAGTCAGTCAGTCAGTC